GAGAGAGAGAGAGAGAGAGAGAGAGAGAGAGAGAGAGAGAGTGAGTTTCCCTGTAGTCCAGCTGGCCTGAAACTCGCTGTGTAGACCAAGCTGACCCCAATCTCACAGAGATCTGCCTGCCCCTGCTTCCCAAGTACTAGGGTAAAAGGCGTGTATCACCACCCTTGGCTTTGGCATATATTTTTATGGCCCCATTAGAGAATTTACATGTTTAGAGAAAAGTGATACAAGATTTCAGTTCCTTCAGATTTATGTTGGATAGTTAAGAGCATTTATAAATAAATAAGTTTTCAAAAACTTTGTACATGCTCAAGGGAAAGCCCAAGGCTCTGCAACAGACTTTAACATGTTTCCCATGTACCAGATGTTATTTTAAGCATTTAAAATACCCACTTGTTTAATCCTCTTGTTTAGAACATGGCAATTTTTTTTCTGCAGAAGGTGAGATAGTATTTCAGGACTGTGAGTGTATGAGCAGAGGCACTAGGGTCTCTGTGTATGTTCTTTATTTTGTCTTTGTTTCGGTCATTATTTTTTTAAATATTTTTTAAAATTATTTTTATTTTATATGTATGAGTGTATTGCCTGCATGTATGTGAGTGCACCCGTGTCATGCAATGCATCACAGAGGTCAGAAGAGGGCTTCAGATTCCCCTGGAACTCAAGTTAAGGACGGTTCATAGCCACCATGAGGGTGCTGGGAATTGAACCCTGGTCCACTCAGTGCTCTTAACTGCTGAGCCATCTCTCCAGCCCCTGTTTTGGTCATTCTTTAAAAGCGTAAACTTTGGCCGAGGGCTGTAGGTCACTGGTAGAGTGCTTGCCTAGGATGTATGAAGTATTGGGTTCAACCTCTAGCACAAAAAAAAATATAAATAATTGAATAAAGTCTTTAACAAAAGTATAAAAGTCAGTCTTATCTCAATAGGCTATAAACTGACCAAATTTGACCCTTAGCAGTAATTTGCTGTAGTGCTTGCCTACCTATTAGTTTTTTCCCCATTAGAGAGATTTTAAAAAATGAAGTTGAGATAAATTATATGGCTTACTTAATTTCAGCAGCATGGAAGGGGCTCATTCCTACATCTTTTGTTTTGAGCCTTTGTACCACAGGAAAAACAAAGAAAAAGAAAATCACTGCTTAGTTCTTAAGGTTGTTCCTTCCATCTAACTGACCTGACGCCCAGATGTAACAAGGTTCCCGGTAATTCATTTAACTTTGAAAAAGAAAACTCCAAAGAAAAATGATGCTATATCAAGTAATTAAAGAAAGCCATGTCTTATTTTGTAACATTAAAAGATTTGCAGAAATGTGTATCACCTTATTAATATCCCATAGAACCAATCTGCTTTTCCGTTTGGCAAATTCATAAGCAGTCAGCCTGCCTATTCCATGTCCAGCTCCGGTAATTAGAACAATCTCTCCGGCCACAGATTTTCTTCTCTGGGGAATGAAAAACTTCACTAGTGACTCCAAGTAGGAGAAGATGATGATACCCAGGAGCAGGAGAAGATCCAGGACAATGTGCATGGCTCTGTTCAGCCCTCTGCCTCAGGCTCTGTCCTTGGAAGAGTGGCTTCTGCACACTGCTCCCGGCAGGGAGGTCAGGTATTATGAAGCACCAGAGGAAAGGCAGGTTTTGTCTGTGTCTTCTGACAAGTCAGATATACCTTGGGTTTTTGAAATTATGCCAATTTCTAATAGAAGTTCAGCATAGGTCAGGGAACCCAACAGAATACGCTCTTTGGACCTGCTTATCTGAGAAGCCCTTGTGTAACATGTTTCAACATGAAACTTCACCCTTCAGTTATTCTACAAATATTGCAACAGCTAATGGTCTATTATCTTTTAGTGGTGTGTGTGTGTGTGTGTGTGTGTGTGTGTACACTTAAGGGAGGAAAAAGAAGTAGAAACATTATCTTTAAATAGGAGGGCTGCAGGATGGTTCAACAGGTAAAAGCACTTGCCCCCATATGCCTGATGACCTGTGTTTGATCTCTATAATCCATAGAACAACTCTTAATTCTACACACACACACACACACACACACACACACACACACTGAAATAAAAGGTAAAATAAAAATTAAAGAAACTTAAGAGTCAATGAAGCTGCCAGGCATGGCGGTGCACGCCTTTAAACCCACCTGGGATGCAGAGGCAGGGGATCTCTGTGAGTTCAAGACCGGCCTGGTCTACATAGTGAATTCTAGGCCAACTGAGGCTATATGGAGAGCCTGTCTCAAAAATTCCCCCCCCCCAAAAAAAAAGAGTCAATGAAACTTAGTTATTTGACTCATTTATTTACCAAAGTTCAGCCTTAATACTGTATTTCAGCTGGTTGGTAATTTTTCTCTGAAAACTCCTTGAACTTGCACGAGATTTTTGAGGTTGGATGAAACAACCAGTTCTCTTTGTGATAATATTGGAAAAATCATGAGACCAGATGTCAGAAGTCTCAACTAAAATGTGTGGTAACGTCTTTGTTCAAGCTGCTCTAACAAGTACTGTGGACCAGGTGGCTTATTATTCATGGGTTTAGAGGCTGTGAGTCCAAGGCTGAGGTGCAGGTGGGTTCTGTACCTGGTGGGAACTGGCTCCTTGGGTTACATACAGCTGTCTTTTCACTCTAACTGTACACAGCAAGAGGAGGAAGGGAATTCTCTATCATCACTTTTACAAAGGCCATAGTGGAGTCCCTATGAAGTTCCTACATCCAAATGTCATCATGTTGGGGGCTAGGATTTCAGCATATGAAATTCAAGGGAACACAGTCTAATT